ACTTGAACGATTCATGCAAACAGAGCTTAGTTCGCTCTCTCTAATGCAGACTAAAACAGATGTGTAGAGCTAGTTTGCTAGAGACATCAACGGACTAAGACAGAGTAAACTGAAAATTACTCATTTTGTGGGATGCAGTCACACTGAATGAATGAGCCCCGAGCTGGATCAAGAGAGGGCGCAATTTTCCTGGCAACGGAGGCTCCTTGGGTAGGAACTGCACTTTGCTGGACCACAAACGACTATGAAATGCGTGCGTTATGGTCACGTGGCTACCAATAAAATGAACATATCTGACCAACATTGCTCTTTTCAAGCAATGAGGGGGTGCTTCTGCTCAAGGCAGATAGTGATGACCAAAAAGGAACTGAAGTGGCAGAGGGACATTTCTTTAAATCATCCAGAGTCCCCTGTCCACATAACTGATCTTGATTCATCTGAAGACCGTGAGGCAATAACATGTCACTGCTGAAAGGCTCCAACCTCTGACTGAAATGAGCAAACTTGCGAGAAGATAATTGTCCTAAGCAGTCCCTCCAGACTGTCAAGTTTAATGGGCGTGAGTTTGTAAAGCACGAGGAAGAACTGAACAGAGTCCCTTGCCCTTATTCAAAGATGGCCCATTGTGCCGCAACAAAGACTTAATTAGGTTTGATGACTTCTGTCATTTGACAGAACAAGTGGGGGAAAATGAGAATTGATCATCGCAATCAGAGTCAGGTGTGTGCCGAGTATTGTCGGCGTAATTATCAATTAAGTAAAATTGCATCATCAATTAAGTAAAGTTGCATCATTGGCTGATTTGTGTGTTTCTGGTTGCATGTTGCAGAAGAAATTCAAAGTGCTCAAAGTGTGCATTGGTCGTAATCAAATTTGTGGAGCATTGTGGATCTTGACTATTGGATTCTGCCAACTACACGTTTGCATGTTTTTTGTTCCATCTTTTGAGTTTTGGTTCTGTCGTTAGGGAATTAAGAACTTGTGTTTGCGTCTCTGCCATAGCACTACACGTTTGCATGTTTTTTGTTCCATCTTTTGAGTTTTGGTTCTGTCGTTAGGGAATTAAGAACTTGTGTTTGCGTCTCTGCCATAGCAATGAAAATGGGAAGGTTTTGGATATTTTCACTGTGTGCCTGCACTTGGATATATATTCCTCTTGGGCAAAGATCTTCAGCTTTGTGCTCCAATATTTGATAGTGGACTGTGTACATTCAGTTGACAATGGATTATGCACATTCAGTTTAAAATTGGATTGGCACATACATTTGAAAATTGGTTGTTGGAAATAAGTTGTGCCCATTCAGTTGAAAATGAATTGTGCATTGGACCTGCTTTTTAAAGCTGTCTGAATCACCAGCCCCGGTCTGTTTACATCTACTAAAAAAGTGTAATTGGAGGGCACGATAACATCATATACCAGTACATACAGGGTAATTGATACCAGGCAAGTCTGATACACATGGTACATGTAGCACCTTGAAAAATGTACTCTGAGTTCAGTCAACCTGAATGCGCACTGTGTTTGATAATTAAGTGGATTACCTAGACAAACATGTGGCTGGGGGAGGTCAAAACTAAGGCTGAAGCTCCATATCAAGATGTTTATTCTTCCGGTATCATACTGCACTTTGAAAATTCAAAACAGCCCCTTCAACAGAAATTCAAGGATTTTTGTAGTGGATAGTAATATTGAATGCTGCTAATCTTTTTTTTAAAAAAAGATCGCTCGGAATTTGCCACAGCCTTTTCAAAACATTGGTTTGTTACAGACGGGTATGTCATCATGCTTTGTGTTGGTTTGCATTGAAGAACAAAACTATGTGGGTCAAATGACTGTGTTGTCTCAAATAGCCCCAGTCTTGATGCCACGGAAGTGCAGCATGCCCTGTGGCCTTTCCAGGCAGGGTTAGCGATATTGCCTTGGGTTGGGAAAAATATAGGCCTCCACAGAAAGTGAAAATGCTCCGTGGTAGCTTGCCAGAAAATCAAAGTGGGTCCTGAAAAAAAAGCACTCGGACCATCCCTGGATTGGGGGCAAAGTTTTGCAGATGTGCGGTTCAGTGCATGGCTGTTCACTGCCGTCTGTCTCTTGTTGCTACCGTCCACATCCTGCCTGAGGCAGGGTTCAGATTGAATTCTTGTACTCACCTCATTTATTATTGTTGTTTTTTTTTCCCCTGTATTTCCCTGGGAGAATTGGCTTGTGTTTTGTGAGGACATTGGAGATGTGCATTTCCTGTCTTGTCTTGCCTCTGAAGGCTTTTTTTTTTTTTGGTTAACTCTTCTTGCCCCAATTAAGTGTTTCAGACCCTGAGAGAGCCATGGCCAGACATTGGGCACGACATGTCTTGACTCCTCTCCAATGATAATTTTTGTGTCCTGTCTGATTTTCCGAGTTGTACCAAGTTATTCCTCTTCCTAAGTATATTTAAATATTTCCAATATTTTATAGTAGGTTGATGAACCCTTGCAAGTGTTAATCTGTCTTTTCCACTAAAAGATAGAGCTCACTTCCAGAACCGAAATCAGTTTCCATGGATCTCTCCCATAAATTACAGATTAATATACTATCCAGTTTCAACTCAGAATGGACGAATCAGTGGCCCTGGAATGAGGACAGAAATCTTGCCCCTCTAAGTGATGAGGCTTTGTGTCTTTAATATCAATGTGACACTCACATGTACATGTACGTAATGTGGATCGCCAATGTACATCTGAGTTCATATTGCTCCATATTAAAAATTGGCCAGTCGCAGTCGCATTTATAATAAAAATGTCGGGCAATAAATCAAAGCAAATGCAATTCTCCGGAGCCTGCAGTGCCCCTCACAGCCCAACCCCTTCCTCCTTCAGATTGCATTTTAGATTGATTGGGGCATAGAACCAGTTTAATAACTCTCCGCGCAAGATGGCCTCCTTCGGCCCCAAATGCTTGATTAGCTGGAGATGGGACTTTCATTTTTCGTCATTGTTATAGAAACCAATACTTGACGTCAGGAGCAAATTTATCACTAATGTGAGTTATCAGAGAAGGGAACAGGTAATCAGTTGGGCATTTACTGAGACTAAAAAAAGCTCCATAGCAGTGATGTAAAATCATATAGCGAATGACCACTTCTTAAAAAACTTGGCAAATCTGTCATGTATGGTAAAATTTGGTTCTTGTCGGAGCTGTAAATTTTTAGTAGTTCTTGTTCCACCTGTGTATTTCTCTTACTATTGTGTCAAACATTACTTTTACCTTTACAAAAATTGGAAATTGGGTTACAAAATGACATTCTAAACGCATATACATTTCCAGGTGTTAAGAGTGAAATTATACGCAACTTAATGTATGTGCCCAATAGTGAAACCCAAAAACAGTTTTCCGGCAAGTTTTTCTTTGTTTTTACTTTTTGGTAAAATTTTGCAATTTGGTATAATGGACTATTTTCATATTTGATCCAATGGAAAGTTGCATATTCAAATATTCAATTAAATTCCCCATTGACTCAGCCCCACTCAGGACAATTGTGGATACAGTGACATAAACTGGAGTCCTAATTTCCATTTGGGTACCTTATGACAGCACATTAACAGAGACAAGAAACAGGAGAGTTGCTGATTTTGGATTCTGCCGTGGTCTTTGCTGTAGGCACAGCAGGGATGTCCACGCACGCCAAACACCTCGCCTCTCAATGCCCCATCTGATAATTGCCGCCTCTTAATTGGGAAATCAGCTGACACCTTTGGAATGGGAGCATCAGTGTTACAGTCATGACATCGTGGCATGCGCAAAAGGAGCATGCCGGCACGTCTCTGCGAAGAAATAAAAAAAAGAAAAACCGGTCGAACCGGAAGCGGGACTCGGCAAGGAGACTCCCTGCTCTCTCTGTGTCTAGTTCCCGGAGGATTGGGGGAGATGGCCGACGGAAGAGCAGTCACGGAATTCATACAAGCCTTTTCATCTTGTCCCAAGGGACCTTGTATGGCTTCAGAATATGATGGCTCGAGGCATCGGCGAGGTGTTCTTCCTGGAAAAAGGGGGCATAAATAATTTGTGGAAAGTAGATTGGTTCCAAGCTGAATGTACCTTGATCCTTAATAGCGTCAGGGGTTGTTTTTGTCAGTGTAGTTCTTTTGTTTTTGATGGGGAATGCCAGGGGGACTCTTTGATTCACTTGATAAGGCTACATTGTTGTTCCAACAACTACTTTGAAGTTTTCTTAGGTTAAGCCATCCTTTCCTTGTTGAAAGCACAGCATAATTGTCAGTAATGAGTCGGAGGCACTGTCAAACCCTAAAGAAGTGCACGTCTTGTCACATCCCTCTTTGTATTTTCATTCTAGGCAACCTTTAAAAATGCCTGTGTATTCTTCATATGAGGTAACTTTTCAAGCGGTATTAAGAAATATGCCTCTGATGAAGGAACTGCAGAAATTATTGGAAAAAAACGGCACCTGACTATGCACCATTTAGATTGGTTCAGCACTGTGTAGCTCGGCTCCTCTGTCATATTGACAATGATGGTACACTAAGCACAGACCCATGAAATTGATCTTATTTCCCCATTGACAAATTGTCAGGAATATTTCTGTACCAGTTGTTCACTCTGGAGAGAGGACAAAACCTAACTGTGGTTTACTAGGAATTGCTTTAACTAATTGAAACTCGTCATTTTTGTGTCACTGTTGGGACCGAAACTGCCCCAGCACTCTAGTTCCTGGATTTACGATTCAGTAGAATGGTAGAATGCAGACATGCAGATGGGACTGGGGAAGAACATTTTCTTGGTATTGGAAATGTGGGGACTGTTGTTTGGGGAAAAAAGAAAGTGAAGTATTTTTGTTCTGCCCCTGAGAAGTTACCTAACGTTTGTGATTGATACACTTTTAAGGTATTTCTTCTTTACTTGCTGCAATGAAGTTATCCTTAGTGTGCAGATCAAATCTGTGCACTGTGGCTTGGCGTCGCTAAAGTATTCCTATAATTTTTCTCTTTTCTTCCCATCTTTTGTGCAGCATGTGATATGAACGTGCATAAACGATGTGAGAAGCTGGTTCCCAACCTATGTGGGTCTGATCATACGGAGCGTCGTGGACGCATCGAGCTGAACATCAAGTGTGATGGCGCACAACTTCAAGTTGACGGTAAATATAAAATAACTGGCCTCAGAAGACCACTGCAAGGACACAAAGTGCCTATAAGCTATGCCAGATTTTTGTGTTAACTGCTTCAGGTGTTTGGTTTGGTTGGGTTGGGTTGTTTTGGTTAGTTTTGGTTTGGTTTGGTTTGGTTTGGTTTGGTTTGGTTTGGTTTGGTGGGGTGGGTGGGGTTGGGTCTGGTCTGGTTTGGTTTGGTTTGGTCATAGGGTTTCACTGATTCCGTGTTTGGTTTTTCAGATTTGTTTGTTTAATTTGATTTTTGGTTTTTTGTCATCAATTTTCCTGTTTTCATTCTAAGGTTTTCATTTTTCCCCTTGTTTCACTTTACCTGATTTTTCACTTTCAATCATTTTCCTTTTTTTGTTTTCATTTTTATTTTTCATTTTTTGTTTATGCTCACGCTAATCTTAATTTATACTTAGTAAAATATCCGCACATTTGTTGATTTCTATAAATCCTGAAGTGTGTTCACATGCATGTAACCTTAGGCCCATGCTTTACTCTGTGCTATTGCAGTGCCAAGCTTTGTTAAAATGAGCATGGCAATAGCACAGCAACAGCGAACTTAAAATAGATTAATGTTGTGCCACTACAGTTCCGAACACCGGTAGCACAGCATAAGCCATGAAGCTTAAGTGCTTGCCATGCCAAATGTCATTTGCTGAGCCATGCTATTGCCGCGCTGAACTTACAAAACTAAATTATTTAACTTCTGCACAGCAGTAGCACCGGGCCGGAGTGTGAATAAGATTGATGGGTTTACATCCGGCCATTGCGGTCTGGCACCTTGCGAAATTACAGCAGCATAGCTGACTTTGGAATATGTGGCAAGGCTGTTAGACTTATACGTGCAAACAGGCCCTGCCATTCGATTTGCCAGCGTGCCATGGTGTACCAATCTTTGGAACGAATAATGCACATCGTGTGAAATGTCGAGTTACGGTCACCATTGTCTGTCTGTTGAATGGCCAGAATTTTTTTTGTCTGGCATGGCCGGCAGCAGTGGGGTTCCTCAGGCCTGGGGGGAGAATGGAACTTTTTTCCAAATAACCACACCAGTTTTTTCTCATCTGTAAAAGTGCCCTCAACCCTTCCTCCTTCACAAAAAAAGGAGGTAGTACTCATTCTGGATTGCTGACGATCTCGATCCCTATTTCAAAACAAGAAACGTTGGCAACATGTCGCCTGGTGGGGCTCCCTGCCCCTTACTCAGCAGGCTTTCGAGTGTTTATTTCTCTGACGGTGCTCAAGACGGTATCATGTAGGGACTTGATCAGGGTGAGCCCGATGCTGACGCGTGGGCTTGTAGCGTGAGACCATTTGTCATCCCTGCAAACAGTATGATTTACTCACTGGAGTGAGTGCCACTATACCGAGGCTCCATTTTCTGAGTACACGTACTGTACATGTATGAAATGCACAAAGCTAGATGAAGGCACAGTGTTGGGTGGGGCGTAGCCTCCCCCCCCCTTCCAAAGTTTACTTATTAATAGTGTACAATATTTGCTTGGAATTCCTTCAGATTCACTGAAGAATATTTCCCATTTGGGTTTGCCAAGTTTTCTTATTTTTCTAAATAGTAATTACTACCGGTAATTGCAGTGCGCAAAATACATCTTTGATCCCATCGAAAATACGACATTGTATGTATAGTGGCCTAGGTATTATTGTGTCATGACGACGAAGATGCTGGTATTCAGTTCTGCTGTACCTGGACATATTTCCAAGTTGCTTTGTGTACATTGTAGTTTGGGTTTCAGGAGTCTTAATAAGGGTAGAGCATTGGGCTTCATTAACATGACAGGACAGGGGACTATAAGTAGATTTCGGTAGATGTCGTGGCGGATTCTTTGGTAGTGTGAGACGTGAGTTTGAGGCTACTTCCTACTTGCTGTGTGCCCCTCTCTATCTGATCTGATCTTTGAAGAGCGCAGAGCAAGAAAGTCCCCTGTGCCACTCGGCCCTCCAAGCAGTTCAAGTGAACTTGATGGGACTGGAGCATTGAGCCATTTGTCCAGTGATCCCTCACTGTCAGGATTAGATGCGATCTAAGCATTAATCCCCCTCCCCTTCCCTCAACACACAGTGCCCATCAAGTGCAATCACCGCCAAGCCCCTCAGGGCACCCAGGGGGGAGATGCTGATCTGCCTACATACCTCTGATAATGGACCTGCCTGGGACTAGGCCAAGCGAACGCCCAGACTTTTACAGAGCGTATAGAGAAGTTGTTTGCCGAGGTATAAAGCTGAAAAACTTCAGCCGGAAAAGGCCGGCTGCGATAATTTGGTCTTAGTTGAAGCTAAGCCAGGGGGCCAGTCCCAGTGGAGTAGACACAAACAGTTAGACGTGGGACTCACAGGCGAGGCGTATCCGGAGATTTATTTGGTTGGCAATCTCTCTCTTCGTCTGTGTGTACTGTAATGTTCGGAATATGCATGTAAGCTGCCCGGTGTCTACGCCGCAGCACGCAAAAAACGGCAAATTAAGATTTAAAGTCGGCATATAAGCCTCACCGGTGTATAAGCTGCACTGCAGTGCTAACAATTCAACCGCGAAGGTCATCGTGCTGCATGCTGAAGCACCAATACGACGTGTACAAGATGTCAGCTACGCATGCAATCCTAATAAAAGTAGGCTATAAAACACCAGAAAAGTGAATTTGAAGTCCTCAAATTTAATATTTTCTTGCGGGCTGCATGGTGGTCCTGCTTGGGCCGTGCAGCAGCTCTTGCCCTTTTTCCAGCTGCCAGCAACAGTTGTGAGGCCGGGGACGTACAATAATATCTTGGTAACCTGAAGTCAGTTAAGTCGAAAGATCGTTTTATCTCATAGGCCGAGTATTTCTAACCAAAAAATGGGCTTTTATATATAAAAAAAAACCTATGTAACTGTCCACGACACTTTATCTGGTTATCTTGAGGTTCTTGTGATGCCAATCAAAAAAATTGCTTCAAAAATAGAAATCTGCAACAAGACCTTGGTTCGAGTCATCATATTGGAACCGCTTGTGCTGCATAGATGCTGCACGCGGCATGACACGCAGGCACTGTACACACCGCCGCGATCGCGCAAAACCCTGTTTTCCGCCTAGCCTGACTGCTACCGTATACCCATTCATGGACAATCCAATCACTGACTCTTTCCAATAACCACATGACCACAGAAAGTGTTCTTATCAGAAAACCCAAGTGAAAATACCCGAAATTCTGTGGCATGTCACATTCAACACAATCGGCAAAAAGACGAAAGATCTGCCACACAAAGGTACACCATCGAAGAGGTTGATTTTTATTAAATGGTAGAAAAAAAATTTTTAGGTTACAACAATAAAAAAATATCTTTGTAAAATGGTTATTCGTCTGCAAAAGTACACCATGAGATTGAATAAAAAGCAGGAAAATTATCACTAAAAAATTTTGCCACGGGGCAAGTAAAGTTTCAAGATTACGTACACATTTCACGTACAAGTATGTGTTTTGTGACACTTTCTAAATGCTTATTTGCGGGGAGATGTACATGCGTTTGCTCAGGTTGGACTTAGTTGTGAACACAAGAATAAAGGTAAGTTCTTCACATAAAAGCGGAGGCGAGCTTGATCTTGTGACGTCCGATCATATTTTGCACTACAAATTTGCAAAAGTTGAACGAGCAACAAAGTTTTGTCCCCACAATTTGGTCTTGACTTCCCTAACAAAAGAATTTGTCCCCTCAGTGCGGCGGAGGCCTCCCCATGTGATCCGTTATCATGAAATGGATTGCATGGCCTGGTTTGTTATCGTTCTTTACAGTATTGTCAGCCAAGAACCTGATCCCGATGGATCCCAATGGTCTGTCAGACCCCTACGTCAAGTTGAAGTTGATCCCGGACGACCACGGCAAGAGCAAGAAGAAGTCCAAGAAGATCAAGGGCACTCTCAACCCTGAGTTCAAGGAGAGCTTCACCTTGTGAGTTGTTTGACTCAGCTTCTAAGAATCTAAGTTTGACTCAGTCTGCAGCAGCGGCTGTGCAAACACGGTCAGGTGCTCTGTATTCATAGTGGCTGATGGGTGAAAAGCCAATTGGTTCCCTGAGCCCTCTGGCAACAGATATGCGGGTACGTGCCTTATCACCCATTTGTTTTGGACATAACACACATAAGTCATCCGCGGAAATCTGTGGAGACTTCCCACTGTACACATCCTGCACTCTAGCAAGTATCGCTCCGTGGCAGGATGTCAGAGAATCACAAATGAGAGAAGTTGGGGTGAGAAATACCGTACAAATATAGTTCAAATGACTTGCTCGAGTCGGTATATGTGGCATCTGGCTATATTTGAAAAGTCAGTTAGCATACCGGTATCATTTGCTTTTTTTCAAAAGTGTGGTTTACTGCCAAAAATAAAATGGTCCCTGAGTGGTTGACTCATGCTTGACCTTAATGTAGACTTGGCTGGGAAATACCTGAGTTTCATGTGGGTTGTACACGGTTTATACATTTACATGACTCTGAATCCTTTTTACAGTGTAAAGAAAATCGCATACGGGAAATTGCATGCCATCCTACAGCTGAATGGCTCAGATGGTTTTTAAGACATCACAGGCATAAATCCCGTTCCCTTCTTTGCCTCTGTTGAACCAAACAATTCGTTCACAAATAAACATAGTTTGCATGAGAGTTAATCAGATTTTTGTTTCTTATGGTAAACTCAAGCAATTCAGAAAGCAGAACCTTGACCCCAGCCAGTGCGGCCTGTCAGACCAGCGTTTCCCTGGCATGAGACAAGTTTAAATGATTACTGAGAATATATCTATTCTCTCCTCCTACCTATAAGAAATACTGTTTTCCATTCACTGCTAAAACATTTATCAAACACAACTTAAACCACGTGTCCATACACCAAAGACAACGTCATGCCAGCTACTTGGTTAAGTAGGCAGCTGTCTGTCTCTCTCTCTTTAAAGGGAAGGATAAAGAAGGGAAAAGGGTGGTCTGTTTAAAAGTAAACCTTTCCTTTTTCTGTTGCCTTAGTGACGTGTTGATGCTTCGTTTCTTCCGCAGCAAACTCAAAGAGGAGGATAAGACTCGGAGATTACTCATCGAGGTATGGGACTGGGACCGCACCTCCCGCAACGACTTCATGGGCTCCCTGTCCTTTGGCGTGTCGGAGCTCATGAAGAACAGCATGCAGGGCTGGTTCAAGTTGCTGAACCAGGATGAGGGCGAGTACTACAACGTCCCTGCTGTGGCCGAGGACATCAGTATAAGTGAACTGCAAGAGAGGAGAAAGGTACGGGCCAGACCAGGTGTTACAGTTGAGACCCCTTGAGACCATCACATGACCCCTCTAAAAAACCATCACAAGACCAGTACAGGACCTTCAGTGGGATTACTAGTCACAGGCTGTTCAAATGAAGTGCAACAAAGACAGTTCAGAAATTCTGGAGAGAACTGAAGTGAGAATCTCTCAGTTGATGAAGTCGATGGGTTGACAAAAACACAATCTTTGTGGTGAACTGGGGAGGGTGACAGTCTGGTTCATAGTTTCGAGAAGTGTGAAAAATACGTCCACCACCCTTTGCCGGAAAGCACAGTGTTCAAAGGTGTGTCGGGTAAACCGACAAAGCGCAGAAACAGCTGTCTCTGTGGCCAGAGATTCATGTTTGCTAACCCTTGTCACAGTCCTTGTACAACACTTCCATAGTCCGCACATCCTCAAAAGATCCATTTGAAATTTGTGCACTGTCTCAGCAAAACTCTTTGATGCAGCGTACCAAAAGTACACTACCTCAGATAAGGTTCTGTCACCCTGCCAACATGTTTTCACTTCTTTTCCCAAAATACTCCACAGCAAGAGAAGATATCGAGCAACTTTGAAAACAAACTGTCCATCAGGAAGGACCTGTCCCTATCGCACTCTGGCGACATGGTCCGGGCCAGCGATTTCAACTTCATCACAGTACTCGGCAAGGGCAGCTTCGGCAAGGTAAAGTAGACCAGAGGTGCTTGATGGGCATCGCCTCAGGCTGTCAATCGGGGAGGGGGGGATCAGATTGTCTGCTTATTTTCATTTTGGCATCTGTTATTTCGGCTGACTGAAAGTGGAGAGAGGAATAAATGACCGTTAATGATGATGCAGCTGCCTGTAAGACTGTTGGGACCTTTGTAAAGGCCATGTTATTTTTTGGGTCTATGGCTTGGTTTGGTTTATTACTTTTATTGCACAAAACATCAGAACCAACCTGTAGTGCAAAAGGAAAACCGTGAACAGGCAAACAGGCCCACTAACTGGAGACCCTTGTAAACACAACACAACAACATATGTCCGAACGGAATACCAAAAAAAAGGCATAAAAAAGCCAAAAAAATTAAAAGTTACAAATTATAAAGCGACTGCATATTGCACAGAAGATCAAAATGGAGTAATCGTAACTCTGCCCCCCACATTGCATGTCCCTAGATGTAAAGTTCACATCTGATGACCATAATGTTTAAACATAGACAAAATCACACAATTGTTTTAGAAGTGATATACTGTCTAAAATGTGATGAATATTTCTCCAAATAAAACGAGGCAAGTTAAAATAGAGAAAAAACCAGTATATAATTCAAGAGCGGTTACATATTGCACAAAGGATAAAAAAAAGAACAATGAAAACTCTACCCCCAAATTACAGGTCACTAGTGAAGTAGTGGTCAAGGAGGCCAGACTTAAATTGAGAAAAACTTGCATGTTTCTGAGGTCGGATGGAATTTCATTCCAGGATTTATAAATATGATTAAAAATATTTGTCTAAAAATACCAGTTTTACATTTGTTGGGATGAGGGTAGGAGAAGCAGAAGATCTCAAGTTTTGAATGTCAGTATTGCAAAACTGACCTTATCATTGATTGAAATATGAGTCATATTTTTAGTGCCCTTTAAAAAAAAGAACGTTGTCTTTAAGTTTGCGACGGTCTTCTAGGCTGAGGAGGCCCAGTTCTTTCAAACGCTCCTCATATGGGGCAGAACTTCTCAGAATAAATTTGGTGGCATGTCTCTGGACTCTTTCAATGGAGCTGATCAGACCTTTAGCATTTGGATTCAAAATTTCGGGCCCGTATTCCAAAATAGGTCTTACATGAGCTAAGTAAAGCATTTTACGAGTAATAGAGTCATGGACATCATAACAAGTGTGGCGGATCATACCTAGGATGTGGTTGGCTTTGCAAAGCATTCTGCTGATGTGCAACTTCCAGCTCAAATTGTCAGTCATCATAAAACCAAGATCATTCGTGCTGTGGACAGAGCGTAAACTATAGTTGCAAATCTTGTAACCTTTGTAATCAAAAGAGGCAACGTGATGGTGTTTGCGGGTATTGACAGGTAACACAACACATTTTTCAGCATTGAAGTCAATATCCCAAGTTTTGCTGCAGCTAAAAAGGGCATTAAGATCATTTCACTGAGCCAGTTGGTCATCATTGGTCGATGGTGACATTTTACGTCATCAGCAAAGAGCGCAATGCGGGTATCCGGTGAAACACAGGAGGGCGTGTCATTAATAAAAACAAGAAAGAGCAGTGGTCCTAGAATGGAACCCTGTGGGACACCAGAGGTGACTGGTAACCAGTCTGAGTGAGCACCACTGATAACCACTCTCTGCAGTCTGCCCTCCAGGTAATTATGGAACCAGGCAAGGAATGTGCCACCGATGCCAGCTCACCTGAGCTTCCCAATAAGCTTAGAGCTATTGACGGAGTCAAAAGCCTTTGGGAGATCCAAATTAATTTTTATTATTTTCACATGAAATAACCCTGATTTCTTTATCAAATGGCATTTAATGCTCACCACTTCACCAAGTACGGTTGTAATTATTGCACCAATGCAGTACCGGGTACTTGCTCTCCATTTTTCGGCCATATTCAAGTTTTATTGCTGTCTTTGCTTCCAACAATCACGCAGGTTAGCGAGAATGCCCTATTAATCTAGAGCAGTAATAGTCCCCCTATGCTTCTGTCCCCATGTTAAATTTTGAAATGTACACAACCAATACTGTACAAGCCACAGTTTTTTGGCTTTCAGCGCCCCCCGAAAAATGTCCGCCCTAGGTCATGCCACTGTTCCAGAGTTTTGGTTCAACAACCCTATCGAGTCAATTTGGTTTTGCTCGGCACACCCAGGTAATGCTGGCAGAGAAGAAGGGCACCGAGGAGCTCTATGCAATCAAGGTCCTGAAGAAGGACGTCATCGTCCAGGACGACGACATCGAGTGCACCATGACAGAGAAGCGGGTGCTGGCCCTGGACGGTAAGCCCCTCTTCCTGACACAGCTCCACTCGTGTTTCCAGACGGCCGATCGGCTCTACTTCGTCATGGAGTACGTCAACGGCGGCGACCTCATGTTCCAGATCCAGAAAGTGGGCAAGTTCAAGGAGCCGCACGCCGTGTAAGTGGGCGACTGTGGGCATGTGCGCCCCTCCCCCATCACACATGCTTTGAATCAAGCAACCATGTTGTTTGTCTTCGCTTTAAATTCCATCATCTTTGCAGCAAAGGTTGACTGGGCCAAGTTTCTGTTGACCTGCTCAGTGTGTATAAAAGCATGTCATTGCAAGTATTCATTGTAATCAGCTGATGAGAAGCATGGTTCCAAGTGCCAGTTGATTGTCAAATGAACTTTGAACTGAAATGGATTAACTTTAACCATCCTGAATCTCTCACCTGTTGGAGGTCAGGTTAACAGGATAAGGGATCCGTTAAACTATATGACACCTCTAGATGATTTGTAAACTAAACACTGATCTTTGCCACCTGTACGCTGAACTCTATTTCCCTGCGATTTGTTTAGGTCGCTAATCACCCAGAGAGGTTAGTTTTAGTGATAGCAGTCATGGTTTTAAGAGCCTCCTCTAACTTCCTCTTAGGGGCATAAAAATTGCCATCAGTAGCAATAGTTACTGTTCATAATTTGTGTTTGCTGGTTAAGGCACTGGTGTAACAGTACCAACATAGTGCATTACTTGACGGTGATAACAGAGCATTTACGGGCATAAACCAGGAACAACTTCTTCTCTTTCACGAAGGCTTTGGTTCTGCCCCTTTTTTTCCCTCTCTTAAATCAGATTCTACGCAGCGGAGATATGCATCGGGATTCTCTACTTGCACAGCAAAGGCGTGATATACCGTGACCTGAAGCTGGACAACGTGCTGCTGGACTCGGAGGGGCACATCAAGATTGCCGACTTCGGCATGTGCAAGGAAGACATGACGGAGGATAAGACCACCAGGACGTTCTGCGGGACTCCGGACTACATCGCGCCGGAGGTGAGGCGCCATTGGCCAGGCTGCGTTGCGTTGCGGACCTCCACCAAACGGTTGCGTCCTGGTTGCTTGCTTGTGCCAGGGTGTCGTCTGTAACCACGAAGTGCTCCGGCACTAAAATTCCTGTGCAAGTGGCTGCATCCTCACTCCACAGTGCCCTGTTTTTTTTGTTTTTTTTAGACGGAGGTGCTCCCACGAAAGAGAGAACTTTACATCTCTGAAGCAAATGTTGACAGCAGGTTTTTTAATTTTCTGCTCAGATTGTAGCCTTACAGCCTTATGGAAAGGCCGTGGACTGGTGGGCGTACGGTGTACTACTCTACGAAATGCTAGCAGGCCAGGTAACAGACGATTTTCTTCATGGTTCAGTTGTGTGATTATTCCTAATACATATTCATGAACAAATCCGCCTCATCAGACGGTATGCCATCACGCTTTTATGGTTAAAGTAGAGCTTTGGCTATTCGCCTGTTGACTGGGGTATGCACTGGAACCATATATACATGTACCTATGCGCCTGACCATTGATGCCAGGAACTCAAGTAAATCTTAGGCTGCATTGGTCCAGAAGTTGTTGATGAGCAGTTTGGGTAAGTTTCTTTGAATTTGGGATTAGGTTTCTTTTAAAGGAACTTGGGAACCCTTATATAAGTTCAGTAGGGTACCATACTGGGTTCTCGTACTACCCATAGATGCACACCACTGACAGTTGCCCAAATACTTTTCGTAGAACAAAGCCTCCCCTGGAAACCCCATAAATTCCATCCCAAACTGTCGAGCATTGTATATCCTTTTATAATCTGATAGAAGTTTGTGTTAATGTTGTCCAGCCCCCATTTGATGGCGAAGATGAAGATGAGCTGTTCCAGTCAATTATGGAGCACAACGTGTCCTACCCCAAGTCCATGTCTAAAGAGGCTATCTCCATCTGTAAAGGGGTGAGTGCAGCATGCTCCCCAGCAAACATTTTTTCCAAATACTTTGGCCTGGTTGCCAGAGTTTTGAACCAGTGTTCGCACGTTGGCTGCAAATGGGGAACGGTTGGGTACCCCAATTTTTTTTTTTTTGGAGTTGTCGAAGCAGTCGGGCCACTAGCAGTCACTTCAGCATAAGAAAATGGACTTGCCCAAGTACATTGAAATGTACGCGCCAGAAGAAAAATTACAAACAATACAGAAACACCTTCAAAAGTCATTCCTGATTGACACTAAAGAGGAAGTTCCAAAAATTGTAGGGCAATTTCGAATATATCAATTATTCAAATATTCAATCATCAATTATTCAAATAGCAAATTGCCTATTCAAATATTCAAGTAAAAATATCATTCTGTGTGCACATGCGATGTTATTTTAACCGTTAACTTACAACTCTTGCCAAGTGATGTATTTTATCTGAAGTAATTATTGCCTTGTAGTTCTCTGTTCCTCTCTTTGTAGTTTGCCTTGTCAAAGCCCTTTGAATACCAACCATAACAGAGGCAGAAATGGACGATTATTGTTTTAGTGTATCAGTAGCGTGCGAAGGTGATTTTTTATGGCCAGACTTTGCTAAAAGTTAGTGCCAAGGTTCAGGTTCGGACACAGTTTGGGAATTTTTTTGCCTAACTTCAGTTTGGTTCGGGTTGGGACATGTCTCAATGCACACTACATGTGTGTACATCAAGGAGCTCACTACAAATGTGCCGTAGGACTCCCATTTATAAAATACATTAACCATCTGCCAGCAACTTCAATTTCGACACATTTTCTTTTCTAAACTGTTTCCCGAAAGTTTACTTAGGAGTTAAAATTCCATAGAAAGTGGTATGTCATTTTCCGACCAGCAAAATACCAAAAACGGTTGTGTTTGTACCATGCTTGACTCAACAAAACAATCACAGGATATTTAAAACAGAAAAAACATCATGCTCAAATGGGAGTTCCTATTTCACAGGTTACCAGATCAAACTAGATTTCGAGCAAATTTTGCACGGATTGAGATGCCAAACTATGGCATTTGATTTATTCGAACACGATTCAAAGACAAACCTTGGTATCAAGTCAGCATTCTTACCCAGGACAGTGTCCACTTGGCCAAAGGGGTGATTTTCTACCTGTGGTATTTTTTCAAACAGATAACAGCTTTTTGTTATTGAGATTTGCAAACAACTTGCAGATCTGGCAAAACATATGCATACTATGACTTTGACCAAACGGAACACAAGTTGGGCCAATGCGCGCACTTCCGGCCTGGAAAAATCAGCATTTCCTCCGCACTTGCCTTCCATCGAGCACAAGTCCGACTATGATCAGCATCCAATCAAAATTTGTTTTGCACTACCATTTATGACCTCATTGGCCTAATACGGAATGTAAGGGCGTTGCTACCGGAGATTGGCATACATAATGTTTTTCCAAATCACAGTTGTATGTAATGAGAGTTTAGCATTGTTGGGCTGTGGAAATGCCGTACCTTGCGTGTTCTCAGTTGATTATTAAAGAGCACCTCTTAAAGAAAACATGTTTTATCTGATTTTATCTGTTCAAATACAGAGCATCCAAATCGAATGCAGTGTCATTTGTCTTCAGAGCTCAACTATAACAAGCCAGAGGGGCTTTTTTCTATTCATGCCGAGATGCAAATTCTGAATGTAGATTACATCATTCGGAGAAAACGAGGGTAACCCTCACCCTGTGTTTGTAGTGGGTAAACCCTTGTGCAAGGACTACATGCATGTTTTTGACATTTGCAATGTCCAATATAAGTCATGTGCCTCTGTGAGAGTCACACAAGCGATGCAGGGATTTCTTGAGGAAAGGTGCCTCGTTTGATTTTGGACTTATGCTTTTTGCAGTTTCTGACCAAGCACCCTGCGAAGAGACTAGGCAGTAGTCCCAACGCCAGCAAGGACATCCAGGAGCACTCATTCTTCAGGCGCATCGACTGGGGCAAGCTGGTCGACCGGGAGGTCCAGCCTCCCTTCGTTCCCAAGATTGTAAGTGATGGGTTGGTCGTTTGGTCGTTGCGCTGTGGTTATGTCAGTCCGTCTGTTTTTGTAATTTTCGTCATAAGTACCTTCCTCAGGCCTTGGCCACATACGTATTTCTTTTCATCCAGCATTTCAGCAGTCCGTCAACTTTCTGTTTCGTTGACTAAAGTTGTCATGTTGTCCCAATGTTCTTGTTCCCCATGTCTTGGTCTTCTTTTCTGTTCTTTTGACCTATTATTACAAATTAGCCATCTCTTGATACCAGCCATGGCAGACGTAGCTTGCATCTTTTACTCCATGAATAAGTCCACCCTCAGCTCTGCACCGGACACAGATGTGTTTCTTCTATGCAAACATACTGTGACACTCTTCATATTCAGTTGAAAATTGGTGCTTGCAAGTTACCAGTTGACACTCAGAAAGATCCTGAAAATTGAATTTTTGTGAGACAATTTTGTGCGGGTTCGTGCCTCCAAAACATGGAGGTATGAAAACCATCAAGGGAGGATGGTCATGACTGTTTCCTGTCCTGTACCAAGTCTTCGTCTCTGTCTTCAGTTTCAAAGTATCTCTTCTCAGTTTCTGCCGTCTCTTTCTCTGTTTGTATCATTTGAAGTTTGTCCTTTTTGGTAGTACTTGACCTCTGTGCTCTGAGTACTAAAGTTCAGCTGTAGGAAAACACTAACCCTTACTTGTGTGGGATTCAAACCCCCTGCTTGTCTGTTCAGAAATCTTGCTGGCAGGAAGTCTTGGGTTTGAATCCCACATATGCAGCCTGAGGCTTTCATACCACCAGATCTTTAACCACTTCCTGCCGGGGATTCTGGTACCGGACACGTATGCTTTATATGCGTTTCAGAAATCAGACAAAGGGAACTGGGCCTTGTGACAAAAGACCGTACTCGGAACAAAAGACCAGACTGCTGGGCATTACCAACATTTCTTTCATTCTCGAAAGTGGAGATAATCCAGCCTTGTTTTGAAACAGTGTACCACGGTTTGGGGCATTTAGACCGAGCCGATTACCAACGGGGACGAAAGCGCTCCACCACTGCAGCGATGAGCCACACAGCACCGCTGCATGCTAATCTGGCCCCTATTGAAAAGAGGTCAGCAGCGCACTGTGCCAGGTTCATGAACAAAAGAAAGTTATATAACAGCGCACAATCTGGGCTCTTTTTACAAGGCTGCAGGCCTGGCTGAAAAACTCGGGCATCAATAGATTTTGTCTGTCAGGCTAGAGTTCCCACCAGACAGTCCTTCACGTGGGTTTAAGTGTCCAGTAAATGAAGATAGGATTTTTTAAAGAATTTTGAAAACAGAAAACAATGATAATTATCCCACCCCAGCATCATCAACATTGATAACTGCCACCGGCGGCAGGTGGTTAAAGCAGAGCTCATTCTTTACTTAGGGAAATTCTCGGCATATGTTTATAATGCCAAGAGCTTGTAATGTTTTCTATGATCCTTCTTAATCTATCATTTGATTACATCACACATGTGGGTGCATAGTTCAACAAATTTCCACTACAGTTGGCTCTGTAGGCCTGACTCACTCTCAAGATTTGGTAAAATTGCTTTCTATTTTACATCTTAAGCCATCAAAAGTTGCGGGTGCTTTTTGTGTAGTTACAAACCCATGCATGTTCTACCAACCATTCTGACAGTCTTTGAATCCCCTTCCCCATTAGTTTTAGAAGAGACGTTGAGTTTGCCCCTGTTAACAGTTGTTGCATACCTATTTGGTATCACATGTTGTTACCCAGATGCGCTCCCCACACGAGAGTGGCCTCAGTATGCAAACATAGATGTGTTGGTATCATATTACGCTGTGATCACACAAATTCCCGGTTGCAACCCTCTTAATCAGTGTTGTATTTGAGCCCTGGTTGAAACGTGACAGTTACGCACTCGACGTGAAGTCCACTTTACACTCAAGACCTGAAATGGGTTAATGTCTGGACTTGAGCCCTGACTCCACCTTAGACTTTGATGCTGGATCTGAAGAGTTGCACTCACATGAACATTGAGAGTCGGTAGACCTGGTAATGAAAGTTGGAGACTGTTGCAACAATATTTGTGAAACTTGAAACATTTTGCCATGAACGTAAATGGATTTTCTGAAATCATCCCTTTGTGGGGGTAACACATACAGAGGTGCATTCTTCATGTGCAAACTTTCAAGGGGCATCAAACCCCAAGTAAAATAATATTACCTTGACTCTACTTGTTCCTTCCTTAGTCTTCTAAAATCCGGAAAACTCCTGCCAGATTTGGAGGGTCTGAAAAGATTAATGTATAAAGCCGGGGTCAACACTCAAGTCTTGTCCAGACCAGATCCGTAGCTGTTTTCAAACTTTGGATCTGAGTGGATTTCAAGTCTTTGTGTCTGCTGTTGCCCGTCCTTGCTCTTGGCCAATTAACCCTAACCCTCCTCAGTCCTCCAACAGGTGAAGGATTGAGGAGGGTTAGGGTTAAGGACTCGAATGCAACACTGCTTCATCTGTCCTGGCCAAGTCTGGTGATACTCTGTGGACTGCCACCTCCTCTCCCCATGTTCAGAGTTTTGTAACCCCTTCCCCTCAGTAGAAAAACCACATACAGGTGTCTTACATGTAGCCCTCATTGTTAGCACGTACCCTTCTGCTACCCAGAAAGTTTGCCACATGTTTGGCAGGTCACTTGACAACACCCTCCCCTGATAGTTGTAGACATTGTTTTTGTGTTTGATTTATTAAAGGTGGCCCGTATTTTTGTCTTGTTTTTTACTTGGACAAAGTTTTGCATGTTGCAGTGCTCGCTGCTGGTTGGCAAAACGTTGAGTCGTTGGATCCTGATTGGCAAAGCACTGAGGAATAGTGAGCATTGAGTTGCTATTGGCAACGCATAGAGTCATTAGATCCTGGTTTGAAAAACATTGAATCACTAAATCGTGATTGGCAAAATGATGCAAAACCAATTTTCAGTTGTTGTTAAAAGGAGCATATTTCATCAATTTCAGTTTGTGTTTTGAAAATAAGCCCTCTATAATACTTGACCTTGTCCAGGTTTACCTCCCTCTTCTCCTGATGAACTGGAGCACTGCAGCAAGGTCTCATGACTTGCCCAAATTATTGCAATCAGCTTCCCTTTTTTGGGGGGGGATTCATTTATGTGGGCGATTTCTGCAAGGAAGCACTTATACAGTTTTCTGAAATTGTTTCAGCACATACTGTAAAGTATTTTTTTTATATTTGTTCTTTATGTTTTGGGGTTAAAAGCTGAAGTCAGTTTCTTTTTGGCAAGTTGAAGCCTTGCTGCACCAGTTTAAGCCTCTTCCGTTAAGTGGTACCCCAACAGCACTGGTTCCCATGTTGGTTTTTCTATGTATCCCAGTTGTACTGGTCTCCCAAAACACATTAGTTTTATGTCTCTCCCCTACTTGTGGTTTTTTTTTTTCTTTCTCTCTCTTCCTTTTCCTGCTTTTGTTTGTGACAGAAATCGTCCAGGGATGCTGAAAATTTTGACCCCTATTTCACCAACAACCCGGTGACACTAACCCCGACCGATCAAATGATTATCAAAGCGCTGAACGAGGACGATTTTGCTGGCTTCAGCTACGTCAACCCCTATTTCCAGGCTCTGACATAGTCTGGTGGAGGAACAAGGCTGCACTAACCCTACAAGCTGCTTGGGCCCTTGGCGTAGTTTACAGGCTGCTATTCTTTTGTGCTGAGTTCCATGTTAGTCACTACTCAGCCTCCGGGTTTCAGTCCAGGGCTGGGCTCTTTGGGCTGGGCCACCTTCACTTTGGGTTCAAAAGATGGATTTATGGGTTAAATACAGTACATTTTGCGTGGCTGAATGTGCAGAGTAATGTTGACGTGCATTGCTTAAGGTTAAGGGTTTCGTGATGCTGACTTTCAACGTTTTGGTCCACCAAGGTGTCATGAGCTAGGTTAAATTGTTTTGGGAATGAAAAAAAAGAGGAACACTATCAATGCACAGTATTCTATTAGTCCATTAAATTGTAGTGTAGAATTCATATGTAGTTCCCAGAAATATTTCATCCTCTGCTCGTAGTACATTTATTGCCTGCCCTGGGCATCTGCTTTTTCATTCCTGGAGAGGGCGCCCTTGATCCATGCCCCCATACTTTTGATTGAGCTTTGAGCCGAAAAAACGCACCAAGTTTCATTGAATTAAAAACACAGCGCATTTTGAGTTGAAAGCTGGCTTCATTTTTCCAATCCAAATTGTGACTTGGCAGTGGTGTTCCCTGGAACTGGTTGCGGATATTTTGTCTTTTTACCCACCATTGTGCTTGCAAAGGGTCACACTGTCTGTATTGACTGGAAACCTGCAAGGCGGGAGGTTACCTTTGTTCAATAAACATGTACCATGCTAGCCAGTTTCATTCCTTTTAAGCTTCTCCTTGGGAGCTTGTTAAAAACCACCTGTTTTATTCCCCTTTTGAGTTCCACTTAAGTATGTGTATCATCCCCTGTCTTTATTTGTGGCAGTGGCTTGATTTTTTTAGTTTCGAGAATAATTTATTTGCAATGCATGAATGTACAATATAACTTGTTGTAATGGCATTACTTTATTGGCTGTTGTGCACGCATGGCCCGGCTGTGTTTGTTTCCAGATCCATGCTTTGTCCCACACCAACCGCTTCGAATTTGTTCTGTTTGTCAACCTGAAAGCACCCAAGACAATATTGGGGCAAGGAAAAAAAAATAATATAGGTCCAATAATAGCTTTTGATTTAAGGATATATATATATACCAAGCTTAAAAGCTTTTGAATTTGAAATAGACATGTCTGTATCAGTGATCAGTTTGAGCACATTGCACCATCAGCAGAAGTATTATGTATGAGGTGGAACCTAACTTCTACAAACTTGCCTAAAATAAACCGCAATTCACGGACTTTCTAAATCATGCGGATGCAGGCCTGTTACATGTACCAATGAATCAGTCCCTCTTACAACAGTGTGTTGGGTTGAGGAACCCAGTCCAGTCATGCCAAAAACCAAAATCGTTGTCAGTTTGGGTCATGAAACATTCATTTTGTTTCACCAATTCTCAAAATGCTCATGCAACAAGCACACTCTGTCTTGTAAGAATTATACGTAAAAAAAAAAGACTCCAAGTGTCCAGAATTTTTATTTGGAATTAAAAAAAGAAGAAGCCTCAGTTAGACTTGAATAAAGTTATGAGTTGAAATTAACTGTGATTTATACCTAAATGCACTGAAATGGTACTCCCCAGCTTCATCAGGGATGCTTCCCAAAAAGGTGACTTTAACTGAAATGGATTCCGAAAGTTGAGTTCAGAAAAGGTCTTCTTTAGGATTTATTCCCGTATTCTGGTATTCTTAAGTTATAATTTGAATTTGTTGGTGTAAAATTTTTTGGTAAAGGCGTAACTGTAATAGCATGCATATCTGTGGTTCTAGCTTGTGCTTTTTTGCTATTTTGTAAGGTGTTACTGCCAACCAATGGAAATTTAGGAAGGTTATCAGTACTATGGAATAATTGTTCCAGATCCAGATCTTTCATTGATGTGTGTTTTGTTTTTTGCAATTGTTTCCTGTGAAATATCAATTTACATGCCGTTCTAGACAAGGTTTTTCCACCACTGTGAAGGCTGTCCAACTGCACTTGAAGTGCAAGTCATTTTGGGCATGACAATTTTTCTTAATTTACCATGTTTCAAATAATAATGCAGACACATCATAAGAATGCTATGTAAGTTTTTGACCTTGATGGGGTTGGCATTGTGAAGAATTTGACCTGTAAAATGCAATGCATTATAGCTCCGAACACAAATCACTATTTCGATGGACCTTTTTTCTTACGAATGCATTCTTTTTTTTTTCTTTTTTTGTGAACCCTGTTACTGGTTCCTTACCCTGCATTCGTGAACCTTGAACTGTGGTCATTTTGGGGGGACTCTTTTTTGGCGTGGAGTAAGTCCCCCAGCTTGTAACATACGTAACAAGAGAACGTTCAACGCTGTGACGGAAAAGCCCATTTGTACCAGTACCGTGACATTTCGTGGCACTGGGTTAGTAAGCAGAGCGTGTGTGTGGCAGATCGTGATAACACTGGGCATACAAACGATTCCATCGACTGAACCCTGTTTAGTTGTAATTACGAGTAGAGTTATGATTTCTGAACCTTCACCGGTCTAGCTGGGCGGTATGGCTGCCACTTGCGACCCTTCCGCAAAGTAAATGCAGCTACGATTATCTGCATCCCCAAACCAGGTCGGTCCTTCCCCTATGGTGTCATCAACCAGAAAAGCTTTTTTACTTCAAACTTTTGTCATGGGCGCTGTAATAAGACACGACGTGGAAAAATGTAATTCTAACTGATATGATGTCAGTTTGAGATGCAAAAATACGTATTAAGTTGTAAAAAAAACAAGTTCATATAGTATAACTACCATTTTTAGCCCGGTTTGGGGATGATGGATCACATCGAACAGTGCACCTTCATTATTTCGTTTGTGCTCTTGGGCACCTCAACATGGATTTTTCTTTTATTTCCATGGGTATGTTTGCAATACACTGCAATCATTAAAACCGATTCACCTTCTTCCTATACTCTGACCCATTTCTAACATCACACGTCTCCTTTGGTCTCAAATGTCTCCCCCTACCCTTCTCGTTTTATTTTCTTTGCATCCTCCCCGCCCACGTATACCTTATTCCACCACCCTTACATTCCTGCACTAACACCGACAGAAAGGGGCGCACGACGTCAGTAACTTTGACAAGGAGTTCACCCGCGAGGAACCCACGCTGACCCCGACCGACAAACTCTTCATCATGAATCTAGACCAGACCGAGTTCGACGGCTTCACTTACACCAACCCCAACTTCGTCACACGTTAAGTCAAGATTTGGTGCATTTTGGGTTCGGTCTGTGGGTCGTATGAGTTTCCCCCACAGCTGACAAATGTAGATTATCACTTGTAAAAAATAATGGAGAAGAAAATAACGAAATTATACATTTTAAGACTAATGTGATCTGATGCTGTGTAGGTAGATCAGAAATGCCTTCTATACATAAATGAATACATATCTATGCCTTGCATTGGCTATGTTATTAATGCGTTACAGTTAAAAACTGGCAGGATACTTGATGAAATATCACTTCTTGCCGTGTTATACACGCATTCTGTTTGACCATGCTATATGCCACTCTCAAGGAAATTAAGGCGAGGGTGTATGGTCAAGTACTTGTTGACTGTCTTGGTATGAACAGGGGTAGGAAATAACCAAATTGTGGCTTGGAGTCCCAAAGACCAGTCACAGAAACAGACCAACAGGAAAGGTTAGAATTCTGATTTCTGTCACGCCTAACTTTTTCAAATTTAGGAAAACTTCGAATCGTTCACCAACAATAACACATCTCTCAGGTGCACATCCGGGGGGTGGGTAGTCACCCCCCTCCCATTGCTTGGGGCCGGGAGCTACGTTGGAAGACACCCTAATAAGTAAACCATAAGGGTCTTATTTTGCGTGAACGGTCAGGCACAAAACAAACAGAGTAAATGGCTTTACCGACGGCGACAAGTATGTAGTCGTCCCCGTGATCCCCCTAACAGTGTCTTGGGTTCGTCCCTGTTACTTCATTCCAAGTATATCAAATAGTGGTATTTAATCTATGTTTCTGTGGCTGTCTCAATAACTAGTAAGAGACAGTAAACATTACCAAATGAGTCCAAATCTGGAAGTCAAGAAAGCATAAATAGTTTCCTTTGGTTACCGCCGTGCTTGTCACCTGATTTATACGTCTCTTTCTCTGATAGAAAAGCATTGAATTTTTTTTCACACTATCTCATTTAATAGAAATGACCTCAGACTGTATCCACTCTCATCTAGGTTTGTAAATTACTTACATTCCAATCGTTTTCTTTTGAATATTCTGTTGTATATACTTCTTGTCCCTTTGACGAAAATCTCAGCAGTACTTTTAGTTTTTAACTTAACGTAGTCAAACTTCACGCTGATATATTTCATTTTGCATGGACCGCTGGATTTCTCAAGATCTACATGTACTACTCTGCCTTGCATAACACAATTCCGAAGTGCGATGACTTTCATTTTTTAACAAGAATTCATATTATGTGATAATGGGTTTTCGCCTCATATCGTCATAAAACTTGCCTGCACCATCCCTTCATTTATTTCGACTAACCAACGAATTAAGATTCGAGTGACATATCACGTGAACATTACTGTGAAGTTGTAGATTTACTTATTCTGTTTGTATAGAATTTACGTGTGCTGAGAAATCAAGTAAGATTCGGAAATTCCAATTTTTGCATTGAATTCCAAATAATATTGCCTTGTAGGTCATACTTTGTTGAATGCGTATTCAAGACAAAAATGAAATTTTATTTTATCTTGTGCATTTTGAAGTGTCTGCGTTTGTATTAAACAAATCAGAAGGCAAGGGCAAATTGTTTCCACATATATAATCGGTGCTTTGTGAGTTAAAATTATAGAAAAGTGTGGATTGTAATGTTTCTGGTAAATTTAAAAAATGAATTAGCTGCATTCGTGAGTAATGTATTATTCATCGTTGAACTGTAAACTTAACCTTGATGTACTCAAACCAGAACTGAGAGTTTCCCGCCAGCCTCATAATTATTAACCGGCCGAACGTCACGTTGTTTTCTGACTGGTTAAAGCCCAATGTTTCCTCAACTTGTAAGGTTACTCGGCGAACCACTTCGTACTCCAAAAGCACCAAATTATGTAGGATAATCAATCAGCCGGGGGATGGGGGGTGAGGACTGGGAATATTTTTGGTTTTTGAAAATGATCGCTGAGCATCTGCTGGTCATTTTGACTTCCAAAATAAATAAAATTCTTTGACGATTCTGAAGACAAACCAATGCATTAAATTCGTAACCCTTTGAAAATAGTCCATACATGCACTCAACATAGGCGTTTGTAAACGCATTGTACAGATGTCAACTAACTTTAATTTCAGTTAAGTTGTTGATGAGTTAATTTGGTTGACTCAGATTTCTGATTTTGTCTTGGACTGTCGCAACTGATTGCAACTTTCTACCCGGCGGGTAATCTAGTAGTCGTAAAAAGTGGGATACTTGTCATTTTATTTGTTTGCGCTTTTTGAAAACTCCATGCATTTTGAAATGGCTAAGGTCTTTTATGTCTTCATTGTGACACGTGTGACTCGTGTCCTGCATAAAATGTTCCTAGATAATTTCAATAGACTGTACAAAGATGTATCGTGTTTCCAAATTGTACATGACTATGGCGTCACTATGCATTACTGTAAGCAGAGCTGTCCATAGAGAGAGTAGCGCCAGCCTCAGGTTTTGGAAACAAAATGGCTCTTCATAATGTGTGCAGCAGCAGGGCATTGTATATTCACTGGCGCATACACCTGCCAGTTTGTTTCCAACAGTATGGTGACACTCATGTCGCAACTGTCTGTATACACGGCTCTGTTATTAAGCAGGGTTGAATTGTAAAAGATACACCCTTTCATCTGTAACTGAGCGCGCAACTCTGTTACTGCCCATTCTGGTTGTATTTTTACGGTACATTATAAAACAAAAATTCACTTTGGGACTGAATCAAATCCCGTGGTAACTCGCAGCATTCAAATTCCCAAAATGGTGTATTTCCTTATATACATGGTGAATTCATCTGTGTCTCTTTTCCATATCTCTCCTAGCTTTGATGATTGCGTCTTTGCAGACTTACGTCTTGCCGTTCAGGTACAGAATACTGAATGCACATGATTTACCTAAGCATTTTGTGCAAGAAGCGCGGTTAATGCATATCTTACATAACACTTCAACACTTGGTGAAGCTTGTTAAGCGTGCTACGAAGTACGTGTTAAGCTTCAAACTTTTGGCATCATGAACCAGATATGCCGTTTTCAGGCAAACATTCGTCCAATCATTCACTTGCGCTATTTTGACGCGTCTGAGACTTCACTACCAAAACTGATTAGTGAACTCATGCTGAATTCGTTATTTTGATATGGGAGCTAAAACGCGCGTATCTGCCATTATATTGTTGGTAATTCGTTCCATTACACAGGCTGAATTATTCGTAGGTAGCGTCAGATGTGAAAGAAACCGCTTTTATTTTGTCGTCTGCATAGTCAACTACCTTGACTATTAATCCAGAGTTGAGCTTTTATTTTGTTTGGGGCGTTGTATAGTTGCGGTTGTACAGATACATAAGAGAGGAACTCTGATAGCGGTTTTTGCTGATATATACCAATTGCTTTGTATAATTCTGCACCTTCTTTCAATGCATGCCTTTCAGGTCATCATTTGCCTCTGTATTTCAGCACTTAAACCTTTACTGATTTCGTAAGTGTGTAGTCAAATAATAGGTGACTGATATCGTAATTAGGATGGGAGATTTTTGTAAACGCCTTGACCATTTTAGATTACAAACAGAATAACTTATATAAGAAACATTTTTACATTATTGATATTATATATATCGTGAACTATAATTGATTTTTTGGAGTGTAATGCTTGGGTGAGTGGATCAAAGATACTGCTGTAAATGAAATAATCCTATACTATTGTGTAAATTTAATTGGTTGTTTATATTTTGGAGTTGAAATTATTTTAATAACCTATAAGCTTGATAGAGATATAGATTTTTTTCTTTTGTGGAAAATTTCATTTCTATAAGAACACTGATTACATGGTGTTGTTCAGTGTTATTCTTAGAAGCATACCTGAGTGAGCGTCCCTCACGAAGTTGGCCAGCATCCCAACATAGCTGGGTTTTTGCTCCGAGATTTCTGTCTTTGGCTAAGAAGTCTTTTGGTGGTACTTTCCACTCTCAGACTTGAATTTGTATTTTAATACTAATTCTGATTTTTGGAATTGGTACTTTTATTCTATAAATACATGTAGTTAGAATTGGGCAGGAAGCCTTTGAATACATTGTTGAAGGAATTACCAATGAAAGTTCAAAGTTCACTTCATGTAAAATTTTGTCCAATTTTATTGAACATCAAATTATTCTGCTCATTCACGAATTGAAGAAGCAAAATGTAGCCGTGATGTATTTAAAAACATTTTGACAATGGATGTAACTTTTGTTATCATTTATAGTGCTTCATTGATTTTGTTTCTGCCATTGCCACTGGCATTCCCTTTGCATATCATTGATTGGATTATTGTACGCGTTTCGTTAACCCCAAAGTTTGCTGATGTTACGAGACGAAAAATTCAATAAGGCATCAGATTTTATGGCATGCTATACATGTATGCTTGTAACAATGACGCTGAACAGCTATTTGTGTAGGGTTGTAGAGGGAGAAAATAGTACTATATCAAGACATCGTGCATACAAAAATGATACAATATTCTTAATTCAAATTAAACTCAACATTGATGAACTTATTCCAAACTTAATACGGTATTTCTTGCTGGATCGCTTTGTGTTTCTTTAGTTGTTTTGAGTATTTTTCGGCGCTTGTATTTGACTTTTATTCAAAAAAATTAATGAAGTGCCAATTACGACGCTTCTTTCTCCATTTCCCCACGGCCAAAGTTTCATTAACTTTCTGCGTAGCAATCCACAAAACCCTCTAGGTGAAATAAAAGAAATTTGCCTGTTTGTTTCAGAGTTATCAGTGGCGCAGTCTGAAAGCGCTGCATTTATTTAATAGTTCGAGATGCTAGGTTCGAATACCGGGCAAAGACCATTTATGCGTTTTATTGATTTATGTGCGGGGGCAATTATTAAAAATATCACCCTGCTGTCGGAGTTGGTAGTGGCGCAATGTGGAACTACAATAAATGTTAAATCGTGGGTTTGAACCTGGTAGTTTCCTTTTAATTCAAATTTATAAATTTAAACCGAAAGGTTTAGTATAAAAAAAAATCCGTGGCCTTTTATAGATATTTGTGGCTCAGCGTGGAAGCGCCGTGCCCACAATCGTGGGATGCTGGGTTCGAATCCCAAAGTGGCACCCTTTTTAAATTTTCAAATGATGAAATCAAATCTAAGGGTTAAGTTTTAAAAAAAGTTAAATTTCGTTTGGGGATGTTCGTGGCTGTGTGTGAAAGTGTCGAATTTGAAACCCAGAGATGATGGGTTCGAATCCCGGTGAAGACATCCTTTTTTTATATTGCACTTTACAAAATGAAATCGAAAGATTAAGTAAGAGAAAATGCCCAAAACAGATTGGGGACCCAAATGGTGGAGTGGTTAAGACCACGGCTTGGGAACCACTGGATCTGGGATCGAATCCCGGCTAAAGGTGGAGGGGTGTGTCGGACTTGAAGTCCGCCACCCCGGGTCCGTTTTGGGTCCGTTTTGGGTCCGTTTTGGGTCCGTTTTGGGTCCGTTTTGGGTCCGTTTTGGGTCCGTTTTGGGTCCGTTTTGGGTCCGTTTTGGGTCCGTTTTG